TAACTTATCACTTATCAGTTATAACATAACATTATAATTTATAATAGGTATATTTTAACATATGCGTGCGCACGGGTGTGACTTGTAGGGCTCTAGCCACACTTGAAGTTTTTATTTTAGGTAGTCACCAAAAAATGAGCCAAAAATGATTATCCTCCAAATTAATTTCTTTCTAATAATTGGAATTTGAAATATTAGGTATCATATTAAAATGTCTTCACTTTTTTCCGTATGAGTATAATTTATTTATATTTATTTCTTTAAATTATTTTAGATTCTGATCGGAGAGAGGGATCTAGTAGTTTTACAATGGTGTTTTTTTTTTTTTTTGTATATCCTGTATACAACATTTCTACCAGAAGGAGTGCTTGGATTTCAACATATAGTACCTTATCTTTTAGAAAATTGGATCAAGATGGTACTATATGGTACCTATTATAATATAAATTCAACTTACATGATATAATAAATAATAACAATATCCAGACTGAAAAACCGTCTGCGCTCAGAATCGTTTTTGGTATACAATGATATGATATCATTGAATTCAAATTTAATACAATCAGCTAGTTGTACAGTGACTCACTTGTAACTTACTGTACAGCAGAGCGACATCCACTTACCCACTTTTTTTATTTTCTAATATGCAATATGTCATTGGAAGGGCGGTTGAACAAGAATCTCTGTTGGGCTTGTACTTAGCTATATCGATTACTCTGATTTTTTATCGACTCCGCCGGTTATTTATTTTTTTATTCCGTCAATCCTTAAATTTAATCACATGTAACCATATAAAATAAGTTTAATATTTAAAATTTAAAGTGTTAGTATAGTTTCATTATAAATATTAAATAATTATAGTCATAGAGTATAATTTAATCTCCGCTTCATTGCTAACTCTGTAATCAATTGTCCTATCATCCTCCATTAAAAATCCCTAAGAATGCCACTGTTTATAAGTAGGTACTATCAGTGGCGTATTAGGGAGGGGAAGGTACCTCGGCCCACTACCACCGGATCCCTCGAAATGTGAGATTTCTTTACGGTTCCTATACGTATACTTAATATGAAAAATTTTGGTTGTACCACCTGTTATCCAGTATCCTATATATATTCCTACTAAGTATAAAATTATAACCGTACTCACATAATCCAAAGTTTGAAATACCGACATGTAGACATGTACACATGTTCAAATAAATGCATTTCAAGGAATAACATTTTCAACATTTTTTCTGTAAATTTTATAAAATAAATACATGAAATCGTAAATGTTTAAAATAATTTATTGTACCTGCGCGTTCTCGGTAAACATTTCGAGTAATTATTTGCCTTGAAACGTATAAAATGTAATTGCAATACCTACATAAATTGGCTACATAAAAAAGTAGCAATATAGGTTTAATTATACGGTCTACGATAATGCTTAACGTAAAATTAATTTATTATATGGCTATAAATGGCGAGGAATAGGAAATCCAAATCTAATTTTACTAGAAACAGTAGAAACCAATAAAATACTTTAATACGTTTATAAATTTACATTTCATATTTGAGTCACGTGTTTTTTTTTTTCACACACACCACTTATTCAACTTCTCTTTATCAATATCTGATGAAAAAATCTGCTCTTTTTGGTACCTGTAATCACCTTGCAGATATCTTTCAGCCTACCATACCAACATGTGGCAAACTGTATGAGAAACTTCTTCTAAAACGACTTTGTCCGATTGCTCTAGAAAAAAAAGATGCGCTACTGTCTCTGACGCGCTACTAACGGGTATCCATCATGTCTTCGTGTATGGTTGTTTCTGTTCTAATTTACATATTGTGCATTTGTGCTATTGTTAGCATGCATTTTAAATATTCTATTAGATAATGATTTAAAAAAATTACAATGTAGTAATAATATTCTTACTAAGAGGAAGTCGGCGCACCACCAGGTTTCTCTCTCCGACCCACTCACAATATAGACAATATTTATATTTAGCAGAATCAACCCTGTGTTATTAATTTCAATATTAGTGTTAATTCAACCGTCCTCGAACTTTAATCTAAGAAAATTACCTGTGTGGCTGTGTCCCTGCTTTGGCTTTTTTACGATATTTGAATTTGCAGTGTACAATTTATCAACATTTTTAAATTGTTATCTTTTACACATAACTTACACAAAAATAAAAATATCATAAAATGGCCAACGCAGCAACAGAGGTAATGAAAGTTTGATAATAGGTGAATTCACTCTAATGTTTTAAAAGTACAGGGTTGGTTCTGCTAAACGTTAATTTGCTATGTTGTGTGTGGGCCAGAGAGAGAAAACAAATAGTGTGCTGCAGACATCCCCTTAATTTCCCTCCCCTAGTTCTCAATATATTATCCCCTGCAGAGTTATCTTAACCATAAAGTTTTTATAGTTATAAGTGTTTTGACCATAAATTAGAATCATGAACTAAGATAGTTCATAGTATCTTTTATCAAGAATTTAAATATTTTGATTAATTTTTTATATTATTTTCTTATATTAAATACTGGCAGTTGAGACGAAATCCAATATTAGGTAATTAGATTTCATAATTATATTTTCGTTATCACCACAGGTATAAATAGTAAAATAAGTTGCTAACTCACGATAATATAGTTGAATTCAAAATCCACCATTTTCGTGAAAATTGCGGGTTTTGTCACCAGAACATTTTGCAGGCACCTGCGGAATTCCTTATATTTTCATACTACCTACAACTATCAAAAATAAAAGAATTTCTATTAATTGGATTATCATTTTTTGTCATTATTATATTATAATAATCATTATAATATGATCAAATGGCTGTAGGTTTCTATACTGGTACTTCATTGGAATGAAATCACAGTACAAACTTTTTAAATTAAAATATCTAAAACCAATAATCAATAATATAAGCTAAATAAAACGCATGTCAATTTCTTTTTGCTATATAGGTATGGCAAGTTATTAATTGTACCTATTTAGAGTTTTTGGGGAGTTATTTTTTGTTTTGAGCTAGGTATATGTTTAAAAATAGTGGCATACCCTGCGAAAAAAGTCTGCTCACGCCTATGATATGGACTACAGACTAGTGATTAATTACAGTTGTAGACAATTAGTCTACATATATTATTAGTCCGTATATTACCTTTATTTTGTGCAATGGATGAAAACATGTACCCATCAGTCTACGATAATTATTTCAAACTATAATATTCTGTACTTATTGATTTATGGTAACTTTCGTTCAATTTTCCACGAAACATATTATTTAATATTTTAATTTGCATCGAAACTGCGGACTTACCTAACAATGTTTCAGTAGTCAACTCTTGAATAATATTAAATTAAATAATTCCGGGAACGATTTCTGCAGAAATTGGTTGTTATTTTTTTTTTTACAATTCAGTGTTACGTAATATTTTAGGTGCTATTACTATACATTATCAATAGTACTGTCACGTTGGCGCAACTGATTATTATTATTTTTATCTTGGGAGCAGGTTATTCTTATAATTTTGGGAAAATTGAAAGAAAATTTTATTTAATTTTAATTTTGAAATGGTACTCGATGAATAAATTGTTCATATTTTATTTTATTGGCCGTTAATTAAGAAATTGTTTTAACAGTAATTCATAAATTACGTAAACCATCGTGGCAGCCAGTAAGTGAAAACTAAAATGTATAAGTAAAGGAAAATTTTTTATGATTTGATGAATTTATAATGAGCAAAACCTTTTATTACATGGTCAATCACGGGTAAAACGTTAGGGGAGGGGAATAGATTGAGGATATATTAATTTTTTTATTATGCTGTTTAGATAATTATGTAGGTAATATCATGGCAATATTATTTATTACATTATAAGTTCATATTATTTTTCGAGGGGGGGATCAAGTGTGCCATCTTGCCACCACCTTCCCCCTTCGGCCCTTCCTTTTTACACTGTAAATCAAGTTTAAAATTAATAATACATACAATAGATAAAAGTACTTACCTATCATAGGCGCACGGGGGCAGCAGAGGCGGCAAATTATGCTGCCCATGAACTTTTTTGGGGCTCCCGTGGCCAGAAAATATTGAATAACGAGCATCGGTAAAATTATGCTTCCACAAATGATGACCATTATTGTAGATAAAACAATTATATACATTTTATAGTCATAGAATTTACCAGTAAAAAACGAATCGACCTGTCTGCTATAAAAAAAATTACATGGTTTTAAATTGTAAATATTGTCACCATTTATGGTTAAAAAAAAAACAAAATCACTGCAATTTCAATTTTGATACCCTTTAAAAAAAGTTAAAACTACTTGCGGTTTAACTGTGAATTTGGAGAATGGGTCGGATTAATATCTCTCGCTGCCCCTGCAACTGGAGTCTGCGCACGCCCATTTTACCCCCTTTTTAAATATAATATATTGTTGTTCTTCATACTTTTATCCGTTACTCTGTTTATAATATTGCATAGCTGTATTTTGCTACTTCTTAAAATCAGCTATTCCTAATTTATTATTTTATGTATTAATTTTAAATTAATATAATAATATAAGAACAGCTCCCCAGCACGAGCTTTGCTTTTAGATGGTGCTGCAACTAATTAATTTAAGTATTTATACAACGTGCCTCGTGTTTTTTGCAAAATAAAGTATTTTTTGTATATTTATGATTGTAATAAAGTCATAAACTACTCGACGAGTCCGACCGTGGTGGCATAGGCGTTGCCTATCTACTGCGCCGTCGAATCGTGCAATAGTGGTAAAAATTAATTTCGTCTGCAATACCCAGTGGCGCCGAACCTTTTTTAAACCACTGGGGTAAACCTTGTTTAAGGGCACCCACCTACCTACCTTTTATACATAAAAGCAGTCACTCATGACCCCCCCCCCACATCAACTAAAAATGTTCTGGGGTATAATTTACCCCACTTGCCATATGTGTTCGGCGCCACTGGGCACATACTACATGTATGATAATTTCCTGGATTTCAGTGGAACGGTTGAAAGTCCGGTGGAAAACGCTGCGGGACGGTTTCGTGAGGCATCTGAAGAAGAAAAAGACGATGGAGATGTACACCGCGGCGGCGGCCATGCGCCCGTACAAGCTGGAGAGGCAAATCGCGTTCCTGTTGCCGCACGTGTCCTTCCGCGACGAGGACGACAACGGAAGTAGCAACGGCGACGAGGACAACACCTCTTCGCTGCTGATGGCCGCCGCCGACGTCAAGCCCGCCGCCGTCGAATGCGAACCGTCGGCGTACGACCAGCAGCAGGCGACCGCCGAATTGCTCTACGAACAGTCCAACATGGACAAGTCTTGCAGCGAACACGAGGCCCTGGACCGGTCCATACACTTCCTGTGCGACCAGCGGTACAAACAGGCGGCCGCTACCAATTACAAGTGAGTTGATCGTGATGGGGAGGAAGGGGGGGGGGGTCCGGTGCCTCGATTAGGATTCTTGGAGCGCCGGACAAAGTCGATGTATGGATGTATGGGGGGCCCTGAGGTCTATGTATATAATATTTTTTTATACGTTACCTGTATACAAAAATTAACAATGATGGTGATTTTTTTAAAAAGCCTAAAAATATGACTACACTTTTAGTGTTCTTTTAGATTCTGAGTGGAACGATGAATGTATTGATTTTACAATGTGTTTTTATTTTTGTGTCTGTCATCACGGTTTGGGGCAGTAAAACTGCTTCGATTTTCTTCAACAGTATCTTATTTAATGGGGAAGTGAATCTAGTTGGTGTATTCGGGAGATCAAATTTTAAAATTCAAAACAGTTTTCACAAGCGCTGGGAAAAACAAAAGAAAAATTAAGGAAAAATGGAGATTTTTACTCAAAATCGGTTTTCCACAAAATCGATTTTGGTTTTTAGTGTAACTCTAAAACAAATGAATGTATTTACATTAAATTTTCACTAGTCGTTTATATTTGCATTTTCTATACGCGATGAAATTTTCAAAATATTATGATTTGTTTTGAACTGTTTAGGAACATTTTCATTTTCCATTTTTTTTAGTTTTTTTTCCCCTTAAAATAGATGCGGGGCCCCCTGAGCCAACGTTTAGCGGCCCTCTACAGGGCCTATGCCACCCCTCTGTGGTTGTCACGGCACTGGGGCAGTCGATGGTATAGGTCACAGTGGTGGCCAAACTACGGCCCGAGGGCAACTCCGACCCGCCATTATTTAATATCTGACCCGCGAAAGAACTATAATATTTTATATTTACGAAAAAAAAAAGAAGGAAAATCCACTCGGAATGTCGTGTTTTTAAAATCCAGTAGAATTTTTTATGGCCCGAGGTAAAAGAAGTTTGGCCACCATTGCAAGGAACCCGGGGCCGAACGATTTAAAATGTTATATATATATATATATATATATTACAGTGGCGTAATTAAGGGGTGATGAGGGGGATAGACCCCCCCCAGAGCTTTCATAATATTATATATTATATTTTAATATACTCACCAATGTACTTGAAAATCTAATATTTTGTGTGTAAAAAAATGTATATCCCCCCCCCCGCCCCAGGACAAATTCCTTATTACGCCACTGAATTATATTATGTCCTAGATAAACGGTATACCTACTACAGCGTGTAACAGATAGAACTGACTTTTGGAATAACTTTTGTTTTAAACAATATTTAAAATTTTTTTATATATATAATTTATAGTCACTGCTCTATACATATATTATACAAAAAAATATTTTTATTTTTGACTGAAAATTTTAAATTTGATTTAATTATTTTGGATATATTCAAAATAGCCGATTTGTGAATCTGATTATAAGAACAATTAATTTAGATAATAAAAACATTTATCTAAGTCAAGTAGTTTTTTAAAATATCAATATTATTTTGATTAAATAAATAATTTGGAACGTAAGTAATAACTTTCATCAAAATATTTTTTTTGGGTATTTACTGACATGAGTACCTATATTTTTAAATTATTTACTATAATCATATAATTTTAACAATTTTTGTCTTACGTTTAAGTAGCATCATTTATTTTTTTGTCAAGTCTTTCTGTTACACCTTTTATGTGCCCTATATTTACCCTAGAATAGGCCGCAGTACCGGATCTACAATTTATGTAACCCAGGGCACAACATAATATTAGCGCCCTATGCTATATGCTTTATGAGTTTAAAATTTGAAATTTGCGACACACTATGATTAGCGCCCGGGGTCGTGGGCCCCGGATCACCCCCCCCCCCTAGATCCGGTACTGAGAATAGGACGAAAGAAATCGTTGGCCGATGGATCTACAATTAGTAATTACCCATTCCTTTTTTTTATTCGCTATATCCTCAAATTATCTTCACTTGCTATGTATAATAAAACATTTGAAAAAATCAATATTTTCACACATCGATTGTTTACAAATACGTAGAAAACCTAGTTTCATTAATGTCCTCCGACAAATCCAGCCCTATAGTCAAGTAACAGCCAACAGGTGCGTATTGCAGGAATCCACCCTCCAAGAAAACTCGGTGGGTGGCTGGTTTGCAATCAACATCCGTCTGACGATGAACTCTTTTGTTTGGAAAAAAATTTAAACAGCTGCAGCAATATTGCTACCCTTTGTTGTTAATACTATAGCCTATATTTTTTTTTAGATTTTTTGGTACAAAAGCATCCATCAAATCATCACGTTTGTGGTTTCGAATAAAGAAATTAAATCTTAAAACAGATATGAGAGTTGAATGTAATCGTACCACTTACAAGGCACCGGTCCAAAACCCAGTCAAGGACAGCGGCCCACTGTCATTGGAGAAAATTGGTGGGGGGCTTGAGGAGGCTTAGTCCCCCAAAAATTCCATCAAGCCCCCTCCTTTTTTAGGATCGACGCTCCCCCCTTAGATTTATGTTAATAATTTTAGGCCCTCCCCCGGAAATGTTAATGGATTTCCGCCTATCCTCTAGGAGAGTTTACCATTTATACAGTCCGCCCCTGGGTACATCAAACATATTGAATTATGAGCGGCCAATTATTTTCATTTTCATCTTTCACCAAAGAGTAGATTGTTGGTCGAGGAGAAGATCGGCTGATGGAGTCTGTGTTATCTATTGTAGTAATTTTAACTTGGTACATTGTAGTGTCTTATGCTTGTATTCAGATTAGAAGACATGGACTCGGTGGACGCGTTTTTCCATGCCATGGCGCAAACAGTCAAACAGTTGAAACCCATCACTGTGGCAAAGATAAAGAGAGCAGTGTCAATAATTGTGTCAAATGCAGAAATCGAAGAGATGGAGACTACTGTGGCGTGCGGAAAGTTTCCTATGACCGTTCCTATTACAAATGAACCTAAAAAATAGAATTTTAAGAGCTATGATATGTTTGTACAAAAAGTAAAATTATACTATAAGATTATGTACTGTACCATTTAAGGATATTAATGTTAAGCTTATTTTAGTAAACAATGTTCAATGTTAAACTTAATAAGTATCACAACAATGAGAAATAAGAGTTGTAATATACTAGTGGTGGGCGCTGAATATTTTTTCAAAACAGTGAGGATAAGAACGACGTATTCTGCAGTGATAAACTTATGTGCAATCGCTCAATACTTTTTTTTTTATACTACCCAATGTACAGTCATAAATTCATGTGATATTATAAACACATACTTTGTTATTGTTTTCAGTTCTGACGACTACTTCCTAGTGACACACAACGTATATACAACATGATAAATTCAGATGAAATAGTAATAACATAATATGTATTTAACAGTTAACACATGAACGATGAACAGAAAAATATTAGCAAGAAATACAAACATTAATTATGAGATTAAATTGTTAAAAATCTAACAATAATTTATAAATTGTTTACAATCTAACAATAATTTAAACATCGGATTAGTACAAAAAAAAGAAAAAAAAATTATCTTCACTGAAACAAAATATCAGAGTGTGTCATCTAAATTATGATCAACGATTAGTACAATAAGTTAATTAAGTATTTTTTGTTATAAACGCTTAATCGAGAATTTCCAAAGATGAATTGAAGGGTGGGCGGGAATAACGTGCTATGGAACATTTTTTCAATTTTCATGTTTTCGCGGAATAACGTGCTATGAAGCAATCTCGATATATTTTAAGAATCGAAAAATTCCCAGAATGTTTTTATCATACACAATCATCGTGTATATACTTCGAAACCGGCTAGGTAATGTATAATACAGTTTTCGTTTTTAGTTGTTCCTGAACATTCACGAATTGCTACATAGCACGTTATTCCCGCCCACCCTTCAATTGTTGTTAACTAATAACTATATTATGATATAAGTTGTACAAATAAATGGATATAATATATTATATTATTTACTGTAAAATAAAAATATTTGTTTATTTGTTTATTTTTTTTTATTTATTTGATAAGGTTGTTTCTGGTAAAAAAATAAAAATAGTTATTAAAATTTAATTAAAATTTAATAGAAACATTTAATAAATAAATATTTAACTAGATTAACAATAATCGTAATTATTACCAAAAAAATTGGTTTTAAATATTTAAAACTTAAATATGATTCAAACATGTTTTCACAACCAATTATTACCTATCATGATGAATTAATATAAATTAATAATAAAATCGCAGATATAAATACTAATTAGTAATTATTATGGTATAAATGAGAGAACTAGAAATCTAGTATCTAGTACTATCTTAAGGAAGCAGTTGAACATAATTGGCTGGAAATAGACCGAATGTTCCATCGGGGCTCAAACCCTGCCACCAGCCTTGATCGATCTTATCAATGTGACAAATTATGTCACCGGGATCAAATGAAATTTCTGTATCATCGGCTAGACAAGAAAAAAATCAAGTTAAATTAAATTAAAAATAAAAATAATATTTTTACTAGGTACCTGCTTGATAGTCGTACAATGCTTCAGCTTTAATTCCTAAATCATCCTCGACGTTAGTTTGTCCATTTTGATCTTCAATTGCAATTTCTTCAGCGACTAATTCAGGTTTTGCTGGTTCAATTTTAACATCTTCTGGTTTTTCTGGTTCTGCTTCAGCAACAACAGTTGGTTTTGGTTCAGTTTTCGGAATTTCTTCGTTTATTATTGAATCTCTTCTTATTCTATCAGCATCCTATAAAAGTTTTAAATTTGGTTTTAACTTGAATAATAAAATATTTATCGTATCTTACTTCTCGCAATAGTCTTTCATCCTCTATTTTTTTCTGCTCTAGTTCTTTTTTCTTTCGTTCTCCTTCTTGTCTTAATTTTTCTTTTTCTTCTTCAGCTGCCCAAAACTTATCCCTTTCCGATGAATTTATTTCTAAATTAGGTTGAATTCTTTTGTAGGAAGTACCCTGAAACAATTTTTCTATTATTAGAAATGTCTATATAAATAAGAATAATTCTTGTTTATGAATTTACAATTTTCTCTTGTGGCTGCGATTGATCGAGTCTCTCTTTAAACGAGTAAACCGACCCCGATGATTTAGAAACTTTAGATAGTATTATATCTGTGTCCACCTCATCATCATTACGTGCGTTTATGGTAACATGTGCCCCCTTTAAAATGTTAGATACATCACGAATGTGATTAGCACAAGTTCCTTTTCTGACAATAGGCGCTCCTTCTCCTTGCTGAAAATAAAAAGTATAATTTTCAAAATTTAAGAAACATTTACCTACTATAAATTATTGATTTACTAACCCAATTTATTAAGACACATTTATAAAGGCTAGTCTTTGGGTCCAACACTCGACAGAATGCATACATTATTTTAGAGCTATTCAAGTCTTCTTTCATTTCTTCGATTCCCCCTTCTGCAAAGTATAGAAAAAAATATTATAACAGACTTTTAAATGTACGAATGAACTACCTAGGTATACTATATTAGATATAACACGTGAAACAGTGTTTTAGTCATGACTTAAGCAAATACATATATAAGGGCGTACCTCCTTGGCTAATAAACTTTAGTACGTTAGTTGGACCCTCGTAGCCATAGACGGCCCTGGAAAAAATAAATAATTATCAGGTACCGTTATGAGACTTTCTTCACTGCTTACAACTCGTGTTGTAGTACTCACCAGTTGGTCGGCGTCTTGTCATCCACCACATCCTTCCAAGTGTCCAATATTTGCTGTCTGTTTTTGTTCGCGTCCAATTGGGACATGGTCGTTAAACTAACAATGAGACTATAAGCTTGTACGCTGAATATAATAAATTTTACTACCTATACTAATATCTATAGATCTATTGCCGAACGTCGAAGACAATAATAATTGTCACAGTTCCTTCGAGACTCCAAGACGCACTCACTTTAGCAGTTCAGTTATCACTGCTTGTTGCTGTCACGGGCACGATTCGAGATAGATCGAGGCGGCCGGCGGTAAATGTAATAATAAATATTTTTTTAGTTCGTGGCTGATACTGTACTATCACTACTATCTCGGCACCAGCTTCGCCGATAACACGAGCAATGATGCCAACCGTGGAAAATAATATACCGTACCGGCGAGTATCGCCAAAGTTCAGGACCACAGAATAGCCGATGAACTAAATACAGTACAATAATATAGTTCAGATGCAAGTATCCATCAGTGGCGCAATTAGGAGTTTGGTTTGGGGGGGGGGGGGGATATACTATTTTAGCAAACTTACTTTGAACAAAACGTCAGCAGTAAAGAAAGTTTTTTTTTTGAGGGGGGGGATCTATCCCCTAATTACGCCCCTGGTATCCACTATCCATCGTTTACGAAACATTACAACAATTTCTTTATTACCTATGAACATGGCTAGTGTTGCGAGAGATCGTGTTTCAGCAAATCGCCAACGAACGAAAGTCGCAACTGTACGACTTAGAGAGAGAACATAGGTATTAGGTCATTACCAATTTACAACTTTAGTCACGTGATGATATTGGCCATTGTCGTATTCGTCACATCGACTTAAGGTAAACAGAGCCAAACCTATCGAATTGTCGCTCATTTTATGTTTTATCAGTTGAAAATTCATAACGCAATTCAGTAGTGCAAGTTGTTGTTGTTCAACAAATGCGAAGCCACTCCCATCGTCAGAAAATTAAGTCTAACTTTGGCCTTGTACAAATTACCAATTTGTTTTACTGAATGCCAATAAGGTCAATTAAAACTGTTTTTAAATGACAATTTTTTTTTTTTTTTTGTAAATACATTTCTAATTTTTTATTTACTATAACACCAGATGCGCAAGATAATATCTGCCCAGTAGACCAGTTTTTTTTTTTTATTTCATCATAATCAACTACAACAATTTCATCCTTTATTACCATTATTATTGCTCTTGGATTTAATATAAAGAGTAACAGTGAAATCTATCGATCGTACAATTTTCTTCTAAAAAAAAAAAAAAAAACTAAATTGATTTATATCTCCAGATTGTATTTAAATAATAAATTTTGTATTTTTCATGCCAACTGAATCGATGAAAAAACAGTGACTACCCTATTTTTAATAAACCATATAGTTGTTACAATTAATAATTATTCAAGTTTAACAAAGATCTCAGGTATGAAGATGCTGTATGTGCGCACATATTCAAATAATATTAATATCAATAATAATAATAATATATATCAGAATGTGAATAATAAATATAATAATCTAATTCGAGTCAATTAATACTTATTATTATTATTATCAATAAATAGGTACAGAAAATAAAATTCACGGGCGTAAAAATAATTTTAGCATTTGTAAAAATAAAAAGAGAAAACAACAATAGCCGTAATCGCCCGTCAAAAACAGATGCGAGGCTTCTTTTTATCATCTTTTAGGTTATTTTACACATTTTTTTAATAATTAGTTTTACGTGTATTAAATTTAATTTGATTTTCAACAAATTTATATCCGTCCATCATGGTGTTTGGCGAAGACCAAACAAGAAACAAAACAATAGAAAATATATTTTCTTTGATTTTTCATTAGTGTTTGACCTTCACTCTTCGCGAGTTTTTTGTAACCTTACACATTAACTATTATCATAAAAAACATCGGTATGTACAGTACACAAAAATAAATAAATATATAAATGATCGCATAATCTACGCATCACTGGTACAATTTTTTTTTTGATAATTAAATTGAATATTTGGGCTCGCCACTAAAAATAATTAAATATTCCTTGTAGAAAAGTTATACAGAAGTAATTTTTACTCTAAAAAAAAATTTATGTTAATTTATAATTATTAAATATATATAAAAAGAAGGTAATTTCTCATTAGAGAACTGTAAACTAATAGAAATAAATGTTGGTAAGGGGAATTTAAAAAAAAAAATGTGTATAAAACGAGCCGAGTAGTATTATCCAAAAACGGGATTCCGAGGGAGACATTTTTTTTGTACAATATATATTGTTGAGTAAAATAAGATACCAGAATCTTATCCTCTGTCATAGAGGCTCAACGCTGTGTGTATTTTCTTATACATTTTGTTAATCCGCAATTAGAATCCCATCTTGTCAAGACACTGAAAACATAAATATTAGGTATTTTAAAAAATATTTTTCAATGCTAAATTAACATACTTTAAAGACGATGAAAGCGGTAGTCAGAGCTAAGGCTACAATTTATCTTGGAACAAATACAAGTTATTGGTGGCCGCAACAGCAACAATGTTTTCATTCGGATGCCATGCAGTGTGAAGAATTTTCTTATTAAAGTCTAAACAATCGACGCTAATCTCGTCTTTTTTACGTTTATTTCCTATACACACCTAATTTAGGAATAATTAAATTAAAACACATAAGGCAGTATCAATGGTTTAATAAAATTAGATACTTACTTTTCTAGGTTTCAATACTGTCTTAGGCTTAGCAATTTCTTTAGAAGCTTCTAATGTGACATCTCGTTTAGCTGCCCGATCAAACATTCGGAAGAAATTATTGTAAGCACCAGTCATAATATATTGATCAGTGCCCGACCAGCAGCATTCAAATTTATCGAAAATACAATCATTTTCATACAATGAACATAGTTTAGGTCGCAAGTACTCGTGCACCTAAAAATTATAATTTATCAATAAAATGTTGGCATTGATAAGATAAAATATGAATATGTATACATACGGGATATGTTTCAATCGGTTTAGTTTCCATATGTAAATCCCAAACCTTGATAGTCATATAATCTCTAGACATCATGTAACGGCCAGAATTGGATATTTTCACGTCAGATATACTAGATATGATTTCAGAAAAGAAACTTCTCGTTGTTGGATCATCTTGTTCTTCAAACACTACAAGAATAGTAACATTATTGTTACAAGTTCTTACATATTATCAATAATCTGTTATTTTAAACACCAACATTTAGCATGTTTATCACACAATGCTGAAGATCGCATATCACATAGACGAATTGTACCCTTGCTACTACTGTATACAAATAAGTTGCATTCCAGCGGATGAAATTCAGCTGCTGTTATGACTTCTGTGAGCTCTTCCATGTTAGTAGGCTTAATATCAACAATATCTATTGATTTATTACACTAAGGAAAAATACTTACACTTCTTATTTAAAAACTGTAGAGTTAAATATCAAATAAAAGTAAAAGGATACTGAAACTTTGATCAGTGATTTCTAAATTCCATAAATTTATTCTTAGGTCATCAGCCGATAGATAGGTTTCTTGATCAGAATTTACACTGATTGAGTTAATATGGTAAGTATGAGCATTGGCGAATACTCTTCTTGGAGAAGCTTCAACCATTAGTTCCATTGACTTCAACACTGGCACCTGCAAATTTTAAATATTTTTTTTTTAATTAAAATACATTTTTTTAATAAATACCATAGTGTAGTATTATAAATAATTTTGGTAACAGAAAAAAAAAAAAGAAAAAAAAGAATAGAAATGAGAGAAAAGGAACTACCCATGAGCAGCACCTCTGACAATTTAAATAATAAAATATTATAAAAACATTAAAACATACCCTCAAGGAAGTAATATTCATTGGATCCCTCATGATGCCACTGTCTTCTTTAGTATTATATCCTTCAATTTTCTTATCTTTTTCAGACACTTTCCACAGTTTAATGGTTTTGTCTAGATTAAATACACAAATAAAAATGAATAGTAATTAAATAATTATGATTATTGTTTTTAAAATATTACCATTAGTAGACAATAGAAAATGAGCTTGATTTTTACGTCTGAGCCACCTAATTTTATTAATTTTTTCTTCTATTTCTAAACTTTTAAGATAATCAAATTCAGGTTCATGACTTTGGAACGTACTGTATACAGTGTAGTCCCCTCGTCTTGGAATACATGTTTTACTCTGTAATGTTAAATACATTATAAATATGACAAGTATAACTTAGTAAATAAAATATTATACAACCTTGAAAGGGCCAAACTTTATTTTTTATACATAAACAAACGAAATATCATTTTAATTCCTTACCATGATATCATACAGGATATTTAAGTGCAGCACTTCTTATTATAATTTATTTTATTAGATTATTATAGATTCAGGTTTGGTTTTGTTTAATTTGATTTATTTTGTAGTTATCCAAAAAATATACATGTAACTAAATCATATATAATATATAGGTTTTAAATATCGGTATTTTATGCAACAAATACTACATGATTTGTAAATTTATACCTAATCAAAGAATAATAAAAAAATGAATTAGTCTAAACATTTCTTTTGAAAATATATCTTATGAAGCCACAAATATGTTTTCATCTATTTTACGTATACATTTAAATCAATACCTGGTTTCATATTGTATTATAAATTTTAATTGGTCATAGTTCTACAGCAGATTTAAATAGAGAATATTTATGACCGCTTCTTTAGATCCAGATTCTAATAGGAAATTCTGAAAGTTTATTGCACACAAATAACAAAGTTAGGATCACAGATTTACTAGACGAAGATTAAAACTTTTTCAACATGGCATAGGTATTTGAAATTATGGGTTGAAGGTATCAGTGTTTAATTAATCGAATAATTCCCAGTTGAATTAATGTACTTACCATTGGATCCCGTTGAAATATTACTACTCGACCGCCTTTGTCACCGGTAGCCAATAATTCTCCATCGTGGTTAAACTCCACACAGGAAATTAAATCGGCTGTTAACATAAATAATTATAATATATACCTATCCGAGGAACAATTTACATTGCAAACACTTACCTTCGGTAACATCATCTTCCAACGTGCCTTTAACTTGTGAGAAACACCATTGTATCTCACCGTTTCCTGCAACAAATAAATGTATAGTGTATTAGAGATTGGCAGATGAATAGTAAAAATTGTTGTAGAATAATATACAAGCAGCATCTGTTTCAATCATTTGAAATTTAAATACAGATGCCAATAAACTTCATCAAAGCATTAAAAATAAATATTTGATTATGAAATTGTTATATTTATAGGTTAAAGAGTATATGTTACTAACAATGTAAATGTAGACCGGACATATAAAATTCACTTCTGATAGAATTTAGTTAAAATATTGTACTATCACAATAGCTAACTTGCTTTTTATTATAGATTTGGACTTTACTAAGCACAAACCAAGTTGAACTTTAGTCGATTTTAATGTTGAATTAACTTTAAAGGTATTGCCCGAGTGATAAGAGGATTCAACTATAGTGTAAGTTCAAATTGTACCATCCAAAAGAGGCAAGTTATTGTGAATATCATCGAAATGAAACATAATATCATCGTTCCACTGCAAGATGTACTCAAACGGAAGATTACAGTATAATCAAGTTATAGCACTGATGGTCGACTAAACCTTGTGGACGACCTGGAAGGTATTCGACGTGCTTTTGAATGGGAATGGGGTAAATAGATGGCCGGATAGATAGATCGTGTTGAACACTTTAGGGTACAGTCTATAGAAGTCAAGTATTCCAGGGGATCGTACAGACATGCAAGAAAGTGAGAGTAAGTCAGGGAGAGTCTAGACACATTACAGGCACACGGTGGTTGTCGTGGACAGCGGGTCAGCTGATGCCCCGTGCAAGGTATCGAACACCGTCGGTAACGTCGGACGACTGCATTGCGGTGGCACCGTCGGACACCGGGGACGACGACGACGACGATAGGGCATTACACGGTGCAATCTTACCGTTCTCTACGTCGTCAGTCATTGTGGTCATTGACGGCAGCGGATAGTCTCATGTGCGCGAGCGAACGTGTGACCTAGAAACGTTGGCGCGCAGAAGTGTCGACGACGGCGGTGGAAAAACGTGACGAGCACAGAATCGGCGGGTTTGTCGGCCTCGTCCCTCGTCCGTCACGTTGGCGAACGGCGACAACGACGCACACGTACGGAGGTTGCGTAGTCGCAACGGCGGTGCGGTCGGCCGAAAAACGCGACGACGACGGCGGCGGCGGTGATGTATCGCGGCAGGCGGAAAAGCGTGCGATAACGTAGCGGAGGTGCCGCCCGGGGTTGTTGTCGACAGCGACAAAATGTAAACGGCGTACGAGGTGGTGGCGGTGGCGAGGCGAGAGAGGTGAGACGACGGCGGTGAAAACGTTACGAAAACCACTTACCGGCCATTGCGGCGTCGATATCGCTGTTGCAGCGCCTTTTTTTGATTAGATTATCCACCGTAATTACGTTCGATGAACCATTTGAGTGAAAAAAAATTTAAAATTAAAAAAAAAAAAAAATTCGTAACAAATAAATAATAATAACAATCAAAACAAAACCCGACCACGGAACGCGAACGGTGTGTCGGTGGCGGCAGCGGCGGCGGCGGCGGCGGCGGATAAGAGAGAATCGCGACGGCGGACGGACGGCGGCGTGATGTGATTTTTCGATTGGGAAAAAGTACACGGCGGTGCGTGTGCGTCGCGGGCGGTGGGGGGGTGCGGCGGATGATGTGTGGGGCGTGGAGGGCTTAAAGCGGTCGAGCGCTCGCGGTGGGGGGAAGGTGCTTCTGGCCGAGCGCGCGAATATCGTCTGTTCGTCTGTGTTGTAGTGTCGTGTCGTGGTGAGAGTGAGTGTGGCCGCCGTACGTGTGCGTGTGTGTGCGCGTACGTCCGATGTACAATAATAGTAATAATACGTAATAACAATATTTCAGTGCCGATATTATTATAATGTGTATTGTATTTACGGACGCGGAGGAAGTAATAAGCGTTCCGCGGCGGGCGAGAGATAATAGCGCGCCGCGGCAGCTGCTGGTCCGCGTGCGCGATCTAGCGAATAGCCGGCGACGTACCTGTCGGCCGCCGTCCGCGGGGTGACCCGCCGCGGACGCTCTGCCGCTCGCGCGGGTGGCAGCACCTGAAGCGCGGCCAGGCGGCCACCGCAGTGCCGGCAACGTGACCGCGTGCGGGCGCGCGCGGTTCGCGTCCCGCGCAAAAAAATAAATAACCGTATCCGACGCGTACGACGCACGCCGCCGCGCGCCAACGGCCGACGATCTGATGTCGCATAGCGTCGATGCTATTATTATACCATCGTGAGGGGAAATCCTGTTTTGGGGGGGGGAGGGTGACGGTTTCGGTGGGTTTCGAGAGCCTCCTCCACAATAACGTGAAGAGTTTCGACAGCCCTTTTCCCGCCGAATGTTGGTCTCACTACGTTTGTTAATATAATATTACTATGTTTGTAGACTATAATATATTAATAATTTGATTATATCGATCAGCTGGTAACGACGATATCGTATTATGCGATTTACAATTCTGAATTACTCGTTTATGGATTTTTATTGTTTTTGGCCGCCGCCCTCCTTGCTCGAAATGTTAGGCGGATTTGATATAAGGGGGGCATAAGGGTTCTCTACTCTTGTTTTTATCGTAAATCAAACATGTTACATATTATTATTTTGTTTTTCATCAGGTTAGGCTTATAAAAGTTAAAAGTGAATGTGAAACTCGTCGAGAAGCCACGCCATAAAAACGCAAATAATTGATTTAGTTTAATTAAGCGACCAACCTATATATTTGCTTGACTATTTCCCACAGTATTATATAATCGATGATGACGTGTTTATACAGTCAATTAAATTATAAATAGGTAATAAATAAATATTCCATTATTTAATGTTTTATTTATTCCGCAACGATTAAATAGAGCGTTTAGAATTAGATTCCTACCTACCTACTTCAACCATGGTGTATTATAAATATGTTAGCTATTTTGGATTAGTGGTATTCATACATAGTTTATTTAAACATATTTTTCAATTGGAAAAAGTCCAAATATACTTTTCAAAGGGTATTCTGAAATTGTTAAGAAAATAGCATTTTACAAGTTTAATTTATTTAATATTATACATTTGTATATATAAACATACAACTGCCTAGGCTATTATACGAATGTTAAATATCACCTATTTATAGTGATTACTGATTAATTTATTTTTATTAAAACTCAGAGATTCCAAATAAACTGGTAAAAACATTTTAAGAAATTCTAATTTTATGAATCGTTTATTATTATAATAATATTATTACATAATATTTATAAATACCATTTTAGTATTTTGTACCTGCAATCTTTAATTGGTTTGGATAGTCAATTTTTATTTTTACCTCCAAAGAAAACAATACGTGTATCATAAACATAAATTTATTTATTTTTAGAAATCAAAGAACATGAACCTAATTTTATTTTTGAAAATCGAATAGAAACTGAAAAAAAATAATCAAATGTTTCAGGCCTCGAGATTCTTTATTGAATAGGTACATAGCATGTACCCAACAAAGCATCATGTACCCAACGTCCTTACGTCTGTTATTATGTAATGATAGTTTGTTCAAAAGATTTAATGCTTATTACCAGTAGGTATCTGTATTTTATTCTACAATAATATGCTTAGTTTTCTATTTAATAATTAATAATAATAAGCATTGGCGTTCTCACGGGGGTGGGTGGTCATGGGGTCTTAACCCTCCATTGAAAATTCCTGAGAACGCCACTGATAATAAGTAATAACTATTAATTAGTACGTAACCTATCAATATAAATACAATTCCCTATGAAGCACTAGTACACAACGATGTTATTAACTATACAATACATAGAGCATGTGTGTTTGTTTGAAGAAAGACACGGTAATTATTTAAAAATTTAAAGTAAGTACTAGTTTTGAAATGTGTTTGAAAAATATTCATACGAAAGATGGGGTCAGTGGAACTAAAAAAATGTTAATAGGTTAGTCTTAACTGCTTATACGTTACCATAGGCGTAATTTCAACCTTTGACCTGGGGGGGGGGGTTGAATATATTAAAGGCAAGCAGACTATTGCAATATAGCATTTTAAAATTGTATGTCCTAGGTTTTTTGGGGGCTTACCTCACCCTCCCCCCCAATTTGTGCCTATGTACGTTACACAATAATATGATCTTTAATCTTTATAATACCAATTATTAAAATATGTTCACCTATTATTTACCTATAAATCAATACCGGGAATAAATAAGTAAATATATATAAAAAAATAAGTAACACATAAGTAGTTTGTTTAGATCTTATTATTACCAACGTATCACCTACAATCAGTGGCGTATTTTGAAATTTTTTGTGGGGGGGGGGTCTAAATATTAGGTACCTACAAGTTTATAATATAAAAAAAACACATACGAGTTACGATGTAATAATTATATTATATTATATTTTTTTCTGGGGGGGTCCAGACCCGGGGACCCCCCCCCCCCGTTAATACGCCACTGCCTACAATATATTATGTACAATATTATAACTATCTACATTGAGTACATTTCTGCATAAATATATAGGAGGTACCTTCAGTAAAGTGTTTAAGAACAACACAAATCAAGAAAGTGTACTATATTCTACTACCATGATAAAAATTCAAATTTTTACGAATGTTGCTTATAGTTTATACTCGTTTGTACTTTATAGTTAATAAATACAATAGAGCTTTTGAAATGTATAACCTTAACATTATTATGTTTTACTCTAAGCCATCCTTTTCAAAAATATTTTCATGCATATATTCTGGCCTTCTGGGTGTCTATTATTCGATATAAGTGCTCCTGTGCGCCACAGCTATTCAGTATTCTGTTCAGTTTATTTTTCTAAGAAATTGTATTTTGACCTCAGTAAATTATTTTTTCTCCACTTTACATATGAATAAGGGCATCATGAAAATATAATAACAAATTATACTTGTAAATATATTTATAATTTGTTTACATGACGCGTATAATGTATAATATTTACCTATTATAATATTATTATCTGTTATTATCCTTTTTGTTATTTTTTAAAATTGTTTGTAATTTTGTATGGGTGTATTGTCTGTAAAATATCTACAGGTATACATGACCAGATAAATCCTCTTTAAATGTGTGACGAACGTAGTTTTACCGTTAGGGATACCTTAACATACGTCAGGTTGAACCCAACTATGAACTATTAGATTAGGTATTTAGATTTTGATACGTCGACATTTGCAGAAAAAAAATATCCTCTAAATAATTTACATTTGAAAAGGGGAGGGGGTCTTTGTATCAGATTTTGAATAATACATAATACATATTGTATTCAATTAGTATAACCCAATCTCAAAATACGAAAATATGATTTAGGATTATAAGTCATAATATATCCAATTAACATTTCCCAAAATTATATATTATTATTATATGCTCAAGCAATAAGATGTTGAAAGTATTAAGCCGTGTGTGCTCACGAGTTCGATTATAAATAATTTAATATAATGTTTATATGATGTATTTATTTATTTTTTAATTACCCATTCAAAATTGGTCCTCAAAGATTTGGACCTCACCAGTGAGAAGATTATAATGGATGAATGTATTTTTCTGAACGGTTTGTAACGGTTTATAGATAATTCTCGTATGAATTGCCTAGCTTGCAAGTTGTAGGTTTGTTTCATTTGAAAGGTATGTGGGAGAAGATTATATTTACTATACCAGAAAGATTGATTATTATGTCCGTACAGTGCAAATGTGTACGACTGAAACCCAAATTGGGACTTTGTAAGACTAAAGTAGTTTGTTAAATAAGATTAATTCCTAGTAATGAACGTAATAAACCGTCGAGAATTATTTTTTGTTTATTTGTGGTACCCCGTCCTCCCACATGTTATACAGTCTCTTATCTAATGTTTTATATAATGACCAAATATATTAATTTAAGTTGGGTTG